ATAGCTTACTCTGAAATATCTACTTCCAATTCAAGCTCTTCCTATATTCCATACATTTTCATTGGCTTATTACATGTTTGGACAAAAATTAAACATTTCCTCTTTTAGTTTTTCTTCTGAATAAATCTTTCCCAGGTATGCTAGAAATTTAAGCCCATGGAAAGATGTCATTTTCTAGATAATGTCAGTATATTGGAGGGCAGAGGAATGAGAGCGTTCGTTGGAGTTTATTTTTTCTTGAATGCTGTGTATGCCTGTATGAGGTGCCATCTTTATCTTACTAAGAGCTTCGGACAGTATTTTAGAACCTGAATATAGAATTTACTCCATTTTGCTTAGTATATAACAACCCCATCTGTTATAGAGAGGATCCCATTTGATAAATTTTGATAAAGTTTCCCACTGGTAGTTTTCTGTATATAAATCTTGCTGCAATAAACTGATGAAACATTCCTGGGTGTCTGGCTGTTATTTTTTATTTTTCTTATTGCTATTGTCCTGTTCCACTGAATACGCCAATGTTCTCTGTGATTTATTCTCCTTACCCACGACATACAGGGAAGTAGACTAACAGCCATATTGATATGCCGTATCCATCAAATTGATTTTAGAAGAGCCTGAATTTTCACAAATTCCAGTTCTTTTATTCTGCTCACTTTAGTATTCTACTATGGATAATTTTTTAAAAATCTGATTTAATGTGTTTCATCTTAAATTAATGATATATTAAGAGAAAGTATCAAAATAAATGCATACTTACTTAAAATTAGTCTTGAGTATAAAACACGCTACAATTAAGAAGCAATAGATAATGCACATTTGAATATGATATGTTGTAAGATATCAAATCATCACTATATATGATATCTCTAAAAGAAAACTACACTAAAGAGAACATGGAGAAAATTATCATGTGTGTACTCCAGAAATGAGATATTGTACATCAGTGAAACAACCAGGTAAGTCATAAATATGAAAAATGACTTACAAATATAACAATAAGCATACTTTCTTATTCTGTAAAGGAACAGTAAACAATTGATTTTAGAGATGATGATACTGATTACCTTTGGAACACAGGATTGATGGAAAAGACTAAGATGGAATTCTTTTGTACTATCACCCTACCTCTTAATTTGTTTGCTGATCAGATAATGTGCTCAGTGTGTAAAAATTCATGAGCTAAATATTGCCACTGTGTGCAATATTCTGTGATTTCATACAGTCAGCATAATGGTTTAAATTGAAAATCAATATTTTAGTCAGCTTTTCTGTGGCTGTTTATGAAAATGTATATTTATTTTAATTTTTAATTCAACATTATCTAATCCTCCATTTTTAAGAAAGCCATTATTTTGTATAAATGAGTGTAACCTTTCTGATTAAGTAAGGAGGAAGAGAGAATGAATAGGAATCATGTTTGGAGCAAGTGTGTTGGCATAAGCCTGTCATTCCAGCTACTGGGATGGTAGTAATAAGAGGATCACAGTTTGAGGCTAGCCTGGGCCAAAAGTTAGTTTGAGCTTTTCAAAAAAAAAAAAAAAAGCTGAGCATGGTAGTATGCATGCATAGTGTCAATGACACAGGAGATCAGTAGTTCGATTTGGCTTGATGTTTGCCAGACAAGAGCACCTGTCTGAAAATAAAAACAAAAAACCAAATCAAAAGGATGGAGTGTGATTCATAAAGTAGGATGTTTCTTAATGCAGAGCCCTGAGTTCTATCCCCAGTAAAGGAAAAGGAGTAAATAATGCTCATGAGTTGGTAGTTTAGAAGCATGAAGCAACAGATGGTATTGGTATGCTTGCTGCTCCTCCAACTCTCCAAACAACGAGGAGAAGGCATGGTTCTCAAAGTTGTGACTTCAGGGAACCAGGGTCCGTTTTAGCAGAAATAATTCGGGCGTTTATTTTCCACTCAGGAGCCTTTGAGGGCACCAAACCTTCCTCATGGCATTCTTCATCTCCGTGTTCCTCAGCGTGTAGATCAGAGGGTTGAACATGGGGGCAAGGATGGTGTAGAAGAGGGCGAACACTTTGTCCTCTGGGAAAGTGACGTTGGGTCTAATGTAAATGAACAAAGCCGGTGCGAAAAACAGGACCACCACAGTGATGTGGGAGCTGCAGGTGGAAAGGGCTTTGTGGCGGCTCTCCACAGAGTAGGTCCTGATGGTGTACAGTATAAAGAAGTAAGACAGCATCAACACCACAAACGTCACCAAAGCAATCAAGCCTGAATTAGCGATGACTAAGAGACCTATCCAGTGTGTGTTCGCACAGGCTAACTTCAGCAAAGGGTACACGTCACAGAAGTAGTGATCTATCTCATTGGGGCCGCAGAAGGGTAGGAAGATGGTGAGAAGAAACTGACTGGCTGAGTGCACGAATCCTCCAGCACAACAGGCGAGGATGATCACGTGACACCTCTGCCTGTTCATGATGACCATGTAGTGCAGGGGTTTACAGATGGCCACATAGCGGTCATAGGCCATTCCGGTGAGGAGGAGGATCTCGACGCCTCCGAATAAATGGGTAGAAAAGAGCTGTGTCATACAGTGATGATAGGATATGACCCTCCTTTCTGCCAGTAAATCAGTCATTAGTTTGGGTGTCACAGTGGAGGTGTAGCAGAGATCAGAGAGGGAGAGGTAATTGAGGAAGAAATACATGGGTTGCTCAATGAGCTGAGTGCACGTGATGGAAATCATGATGAGCACATTTCCCACCCAAATCGCTAGGTAGCAAAATAGAAATAACACAAAGCAGAAGACCTCGATGTTCTTGTTTTGAGAAAGTCCCAGGAGAATAAAGAAGGTGACATTATTCCTATTTCCCATGGTCCAGCCTTGAGAAGGTACTTTACAACCACCTGGAAAGACATAATTTGTGAGCATATATTTACCCGTGTTCAGTGAAAATTGTGACAGTTACATATGTGTGTTGTGGGAGGTGTGTCAGTCCTGGTACTTGAACACAAGACCTAGGCACTGTCCCGGAGCTTTTGTGCTCAAAACTAGTACCCTGCTACTTGAGGCACAGAACCCCTTGCCCTTTTAGTTGTAAATTGGAGATATGAGTCTCATGGACTTTCCTGCTGGAGACTGGCTTCTAGCCGCTATCCTCAGATCTCAGTCTTTTATGTAGCAAGGTGCCATCAGCACCAGGCAATTACATTATTTTTTAGATCTAACTGGATTTGATTTATTGAAGTATGTCAGGAATAAAAATCTCAGGAATTAAAAACTGGGGTTCAATTCATTTAGGAAATATCTTTCAGGTGGTATTTCTTATGCCTTTGTTCAAACAATAACATTTTATTTTGATGAATTATAATAACTTTTGATGAATAATAGTAACTTATTTTGATGAATACCTATTTCAAATGTAATACAGTTTCAAACACAATAGTTTGTTGCATGTGTTATTAAGAAACATAGCTGTTATATTTTCATTATGCAAAAACATGCTAATTTTCACATGATTTCACTGAATATGAGCTACCAAAATTCCATTTTTGAATTAGAAAATATCAAATAAGCAAATCTACATTTTAAGATGGAAGAATCTCTTTTAAGAAGATGACTCAAACATTTTGAAATAGGTTTTGTGTGGAATTTTGTTTCTTGTTTTACTGTTGTCTTAGTGATATAGTGAAAATTACATTGCTGACTTTATAAAACAAAAAGTAACTTGTCTTGTGATCACATCAATGTACACAACACATTTTAATGAAAACCCAATAAACCTTAGAAGAAACCAACTAATACTGTGCAAAAAGAGATATTATCCAAAAATTCTGTTCTTGGAACAGACAATTTTATTTGGCAAGTCAAATTCCTTTGAATCTGTGCTGAGAGAGTGGGCAATTTTTCCATATTTGTCTCATAATTCTTTTGGCCAAACCCATGAAATCAAGAGACTGGTAAATTCAGAGGGGAAAAAAATATGGTTTTCAGGAAAACAAACTGGAATGGAGGCTGGCACTTTTACATTATATAGTACTATTTGTTTATTTTATTTACAGCTAAGGTAGAGGCAAACCTATCTTTCTTTGTACAAATAAATAAATTAGAAGAATATTCCTTACTTTCAATACATAAGCTTGTAGAACTCAGAGAACAATGGAATAGGAAATTTCTGTCTAAATTCCAGAGAAGTTACTTTAGATATTATTCTTTTGACAATGGAGAAAACAAAGCAGTAACCTTGATTTTGAGCTAATACAGTCACATAGGCATATGTTCAAATATTCAGAATTTAATGTTTGTCAAATAATCTCTCAATTTTCTTCCTTTCACCAGTAGGAAGATTAAGTTTCAACTCAAAAAACACAAGTGCCATGAGCCTAATAATCATTCAATGAATATAATATCAAATCAACTCTGAACACATAAACTAAAACCATTATAAGAGGTGCTAACCAGATCTGATGTTGACCCCTTAGAATCACAGAGGCTGCTGAAAAGCTGACACAGAATTAAACAGTGGATGATTGACAATGCCATTATGGCTAATACAATGCACCATGAAGAAAAATAAATGAAAGTACTTGAGATGTGTATAAGTGAAAAGAAGAACATATAGTGTAATAAGCTTGTGGGGAGCAGACCAGATGTAAAAACCTGAGTTTTCTGACCCCCCAAACTTAAATTCATGACCATTGTCATAAGTCCTATAAAAGTTTTTTTTTTGTCTTTTCTTTTTTGGTACTGGGGATCGAACCCAGGACGTTGCGCTTGCTAGGCAAGCGCTTTGCCACTGAGCTACATCCCAGCCCTATAAAAGTTTTTTTAAAAACGAAAACTAAATTAATGGTATAACAGAAAATGAACCCCTTCCAATTTTGAAATTTGTTTACAACTCTGAAACCATCAGTCAAACCCAAGACAGCTTTCCCATTCCAATATTGCCTTATTTTAGCCTTAAAACTTTAAGTGGAAAAATAAGACAATAGAATACTTTCCTCTATAAAAACTGCAAATCAAATCAGTTCAAGACTTTTTAATAGGTAAAGCAGCTCTAGAAAGTAAGAGCTGACCTGCACTGCCTACAAATTTGTGTAGGGATCAATGTATGCTTTAATCTTTCAATCTTGAATGCGGATAATACACTCTGCAGTTATAGGTCATATAAGCAAGTTAAGTCATAGAAAAGAGATTTGAGTGCAATTTCTAACACCTTTACCCTTAGCATTGTGACCTGAATTTATGAACCCTCAAATTTCTTCTTCTGCAATTGAGAATTCTCTCTGACAATTGCTCTCAAGTATAGCCTTTAGAAAATATGGACAAAAATCCAATGTATATCCTACAAAATTAAGAAGAGGGAGAGAAGGGATTGCTAGGGTAGAGATGGGTAAAAATGTTGAAAGATATGACACTGATCAAGATACATTTTTTTATAAACTGCTTTGTTAAGTGGCAATTCCTTTAGTACAGCTACTGAATGGTACCAATAAAATTTTTTCCAAAGAGAATTCAAATTGTGTTTTTCTTAGTCAAATTTTATTGACAAACTCCCAAAGTTTGCAATAGTATGTCTATTTTTCCAATATATTAGGTAGCAATATTTTAAATCTGATCTTATTTTCCTAGAAAATATCATCTGCCCCTCAGCAAATATTCAGCTCTTCTTGAGCTTAGTCTAAAGACATCTTAGTCTATAGAATTTACAGTAGCTTCTGTTTAAAACTTGCTTTTTGTTAATATTTTTATAAATACAAGATATTTTCAATAAAAAGTCCGTATGAACAAAGGTATTGTGTGTGCAAAGAAATTATTTGCTCACGTTAAGTTCCACACCATTTTGAAGGCTTTCATAATCTTTTCTATTTCTCTTCATTGATATTACAGCCATACCTTAACTATGTAAGTTGATTTTTCCTCTCAGCTTCTGACTTTACATGTTCTTCAGCACTGTGAGTGACACTAATATCTCACTTTTTACCTTTCCCCAATTTAAAAATAAACAGATATAAAATTCATAACATTCTAGCAACAACTGTTACCTGTCGCATTACCAAATATTTGCAAGTAATGGGGAGTACAGAAAGGGTGGGAGAAAGAGTGAATAAATGCAGCAGTGGTACTCTCAACACCATGTTGAAATTGAACCATAAAACTTGTAAGTAGGGAAAGGAAGGAAAGACTAGGAGACACAGAGGGAAGGGCTTACATCGTTAAAAAAGAAATGTATTCTTTATCTGACTTATATAATACTGAAAACCCTCTGAATATTTCTTCGATAGTAAAAATAAAAATACATAAGAAAAAAAGAAAGGAAGCTATCTCACAGAACTGCAGAGAAGAAATCTGAGGCAGGAATAGTTTGTTTTCAAAACTAGCTACACCAAGGTCTGAACAGAGTCAAATTATTTCTGACCATGTTCAGGCTCCATTGCTAAGTAAAATTTTAGGTACATATCCTCCAGCTGTATTTTTTATTTCTTCCCAAGGCATTGACTATTTCCTAGAAGTCATGTATGCACACCCATGTAAACACTCACCTCTTAACATCCTTTTAGATCCGAATTGCCAGTGCAGTTCTACAAATGGATTATAATTATCCAGCAAAGGAGATATCTTTGGAGCCTGTTTCTTAAATCCCATCCATTGCAGACATACTTTTGATTGGTGTATGATGCTTATGCAATTTTGAGTTTCTCTTGCCCACCTCCAGTATTCTTTGGAGAAAGTAATACTTTGAGTCCTTGGAAATAATCAACACCAACTCCCACATAGTGTTTTTATTATGTTCTCAAGGGAAGAAGCATGTGTTCTGGTGTGCTTCATTTATTTATTGTTGCAGTCCTGAAAAGTAATCTAGGCTAAGCGAGTGCTTAAACATCTGAAGCTACAGTTCACCTCCACCTCATGGGTACAGATTAAGGTATTTGTATTCATCAAGAATTTTCTAGGTGGACTGGAAAGGTGGCTCAGTGGTAGAGTGCTTGCTTTGCATGCATGAGGCCCTGGGTTCAATTCCTCAGTACCACATAAGCAGAAAAAGCCAGAAGTGGTGTTGTGGCTCAAGTGCTAGAGCACTAGCCTTGAGTTGAAGACCTGAGGGACAGTGCCCAAGCCCAGAGATCAGGCCCCATGACTGACAAAAACAAAAACAAAAACAAAAAAAAGGAATTTACAGATGCATAGATTTTTATTTCTGATCATTTTATGCTTATAAAATAACTAAATGTCAATAGTGAAGTTGAATAATTTTTCATTTTTTCACAGTTTTATGTCATTTAAAATAAACTTTGTGTGCATCTGGGCTCCCAGCTATCATTTGTTTCTATTTTACTCCATGAATTCCACTCACAAACATCAACTTATTTTAGTAAAAGAAAAATATCAGATTTGAGCAAATTGATAGGATTTGGGTGAGGAGCCTTGTTACTAGATATGTCTTCCTTGTCACACAAAATACGTTACTATTTTGAAACATTTAATATAAATTTCTTTTGCTATGAATAAAGCTCCTAGAATGATTGATCTACCTGTAGGTATCTTGGCAGAGTAAGGTCTAACTATTTTGAGGGCCATATAAGGACCATGGGACAATATTCCTCCCTCCTGGGCCTAGAAGATGATTATTTAGATTTGCACCATAAAAGAATAAGTAAGCAACAAATAGACCAATAGTCAGATGGGATACATCAACAGAAACGTTCTGCATTGAAAGTGAAATATAACTCATCCGTTTCACTTCCTTTTTCTCCATCTTCCACGCTTTATACCTCTTCCTTAACTCTCCTTTTTCTCCAGTACTCTTTTTTCCCAGTACTCTTGTTCTCCTAGCCTCCTAATGATACAATATAAAAACCGTAAGCCCCTACATA